GTGGCTGTCAGATAAAGCAGTGGGTCAAGTCACGGGGCACACCAACCCTGTTCTGATCCCCTACTGTCCCTTCCAAATGAGGCACCTTCTGTGGGAATGCCAAGAGCACCCGGGGACTAGAATGAGGCAAGCAAGGAGCATGGCCTTGAGAAGGAATGCCTCCTTAAGTTTTTCTGGCCCTGGGGCCTCCAAGGTGCTGGAGCGGGCCTGGGCCTGAGAAAAGGAGCTTATTAACGTTAGATCATCCGGTCCCTGAAGCAGCGCTACCAGGGGCCGTGGTTTGAGTTCTGTTGGGAACATGTGGGGTTGGCAGGGTCCCTGACACAGCCAAACAAAGACGTAGCAGGGGTGCAACTGGCTATCTAGATTTAGAACTCAGACATTTGGGCTAGAGACCTACATTCTAGAACCACGAATATGAAACAGGGAGAACAGGCACAGGGACCAAGTGCTACTGAATCAATATTTAAATGCCCTGCCCCCACTCCACCTGGCAACTTCCCAAAGATCCAACTTCCTTAATTCATGTCTGTAGTCGGTCAACTGCCCTTTCCTGGGCATTCCTACAGCACGGATTTTCTCATTCAATGCTCAGTCCCAGGCCATTTTCATCTACCACATTGGCAAAGACTAAAAATATGGGAGGAAGGTACCCAGAATTGATTGAGGAGAAGGGAGGAAGAGAATGCTGCTTCCCCATCTGCTTGGAACAGTCTTTTTGTGCCCTTTCTAGGAATTCGCCTATAGATATGCTGATATTAGTGCACAAAAATGCTGTCCAATGATGCTCATTGCATTATGATTTGCCACACTGAAAAGGTGGAATCACCTTTCCACATTTCCAAATATAGGCACCAGACTTATATTTCTTATCAGAAGGGAACTGGTTAAGGGTGCCTGGGTGGCTAAGTTGGTTAAGTGTCCAACTCTTGATTTCGACTCAGGTCATGGTCTCATGGTTCTGAGACTGGGCCCCATGTCAGGCTCTGCATTGACAGCATGGAGCCTGCTTGGGATTCTCTCTCTCCTTCTCTCTCTGCTCCCCTTCACTGCTCTCTCTTTCAAAATAAATAAAACTTAAAAAAAAAAAAGGAACTGGTTAAGAGGTAGTGAATGGAATACTAGGCAGCCAACCATGAAAAGTGAAATAGACTTATATATATTGAGAAGGAAAGATGACCAGAATATTTCATTTGAAAACAAGTACCAAGACTGTATAATATGCTGCGATTTGTGTTTAAAACAAAAATAGACCTGCAGATAGATGTATTAAAATGTCTGGAATGCTACACAAGCAACCATTGGATAATACGCTTTGGAGAAGGGCAGTCAAGGGAATGGGCAAAGTTTTGGGGGAAGTTTTACTTTTCACTAATGCCTATCTTTGGTTGGATTTTTCTTAAAATGAGAAATATATGTTTAAACATATACACTTATATATACATAAATTTAAATTTATTTATATAAATAGACATTTAAAAATATTTTTTAAGGTTTTAAATAATCTCTACACCCAGCATGGGGCTTGAACTCACAACCCTGAGATCAAGAGTCACATGCCCTACTGACTGAGCCAACCAGGTGCTCCAGAATCATATGTTTTTGTAATAAAAAAAAAAAATCTTAGGCGCGCCTGGGTGGCTCAGTCGGTTATGTGTCTGACTTCAGCTCAGGTCATGATCTCACAGTTCATGGGTTCAAGCCCCGTGTTGGGCTCTGTGCTGACAGCTAGCTCAGAGCCTGGAGCCTATTTCAGATTCTGTGTCTCCCTCTCTCTCTGGCCCTCTCCTGATCATGCTGTCTCTCTCTCTCAGAAATAAATAAAAAACATTTAAAAAATTAAAAAAAAGAAAATCCACGTATAACTTCTTAAAAAAATCTTAGAAAAGAAAGTTGACTGTTTTTTGGTCTTTTCTTTTTTTTCCTCCTCCACCCTCCACGTATTTGGCACCAAATAGATGTTTAAGACTGAACAGATGAACTACACTATTGGAAGAGAAACTCTCCTGTTCAGGGCTGGAGTCCTTCTCTCAGGAACTGGCTGCAAAGCAGGGGAGGTGGACAGGGCTTGTGGATCCCCCATTGGTAGAAATCACACAGCAGGCAGCTACAGGGAAACTTCCATCTTTCCCAGCCCATCTTCATTAGGGACTCACACAAAAGTGAAAGTCTGCCACAAGGTACTCAATAAATGTGTGTAGTAATAATAACAATGGTCGCTATCACCTCTCAAGCACCTACTAATCGCTGGCAGGTGCTGAGTGCTTTAATCCTCACAGCCTGGAGGTGGGCATTGTTCAGAATCCCCTTTTATCTAAGAGGAGGAAGCAGAGGCTGAGTAAGGGAAAGTAATGTGCTCAAGCGCCGAGCAGTTAAGAGGGGCCTAAATCCATCCGAATCACTATGCTGTCAATTGCTCCTGCATCCTACACCGTAGTAACTGAATGAGGGGAGGAAATAGGGTAAAAGTTACTTAGTCTTTTTGGAAACTCCCTCCGCCCCCAAAACACAGTCTAGTTATACTCAGCGAGAATGAGACAAGATTCTAGAAAGCAGACCTTTCAGATCCACAATCAACATGAAGCACCCCAAATTTTTCACTGGGCACTAAATGACATAATAATAATTTCTTTTGCTCATAAATTCTACTGTCAGGAGGTTTACACTGTTATTTGTCCACAACAATTCTGCAAGGTAGATGTTGTTACCTCCACTTTATAGAGGAGGAAACTAAGTCCCAGACAGATTGGGCTTTTCCTAACGACACACAGCGAGAACAAGGCATTGCTGGGTTTGAATCAGTCTGCCTCACTCCAAAGTCACTCCTTTCTACAAGGCTATACTGGTAATACCTTCAGGTGAACCTGGGGGACGATATGATACCGGGGTCAACACAAAATCAGCTCCAGACCTCTGAGCTTTCAGGACAGGAATACCCCCAGGGGACCCCCCCAGGTCAACCCCACCACAGGTCACCAGCCCTAATCCCACCCCAAAGGAAAGCTGCTGCATCACTTACTTGGTAAGTACATTGCAGTCTAACAACCTATTGCCTCAGACATTACCTTTTGTGTGTCTCACCAGGAAGAAGACCTCAAATCTCCCTTCAACCCCACCCTTTTCAAATAAGTGAAGGTTTGGCAGCCATCCGGAAAGACTGGTGATTCTAGTCTAGAAACCCACAGATACCACTACCCAGCTCCTTCTCAGACGCTTCTTTATCAAAGTTTTATTAGCCTCAGCTCAGGGTACCTCCATCTGGGCATCTCATTACAGAGCAAGGACACTTCAGCCATTTGTAACACCACCCCCACCCCAAGCAGCATTTTCAAGGACAGCAGCAGAAATGAGTTGCAAGAGAGCTATAAATCCATCTTGCCCCCTCTCCCCTCATGCATTTGCTCTCTCAACCTACCTATTTCTTTACAGTCTGCAATTGGATTACTCCCATTCCTTAAACGCATCTCTGACATTTTCATCTTGAATGTTCATTTGTTCACACTTCCCTTTGCCTGGAGCTCATTCTCCCCTGGCCGAAATCTATCTCCTGCCTCGAACTCCAATCGCACTTAATAGTCACGTTATCTTTTGGCACTGGTCACATTACATTCTTCATTACAATTACTCAAAAACATTTTTTCCTCGTACCTATAAACTATACCTGTGTGACTTCAAAGTAAAATACTGCCATAGAGAAACAGAACACATACGAGATATTTTATGGAGATATTTGTCTTTGTTCTCATTTCTGTGGGTAATTTCTTTTCCCCACCCCCAAGAAAGTAGCCAGGCCTTAAATGTTCCCCCAGTGGAAGGCTGCTAAGTTTCAGATCCAAAAAATGAACAGTTTCGAGCAACACAGAAGACAATGTTCAGAAATTGTTTTTGAAAAGCACGGTCTTGCTAGGGGAATTGATCCAAAAGTAAAAGGGCGGAGAGTGCTTTGAATGGGGGAAGCAAAAGTCCGTGGAGGGAGAGAAAGGTTAAAGAAAGCAGCGGGTTTTGAACCAGTTTATGGAAGAGTAGAGACCTAGGATCGTTTGCATATAGCACCCCAAGATACGGAGACTGCCGTGTGAGATGGTCCCCTATCTATATACCTCGGCCTCGAGAGCAGTGGCAAGGGTCTTTTTGAGCAAGCCTGGAACGATCCATTGTGAAGGGTCCAACAGAGGCAAGGGGATTAGCACCCATATCAATAGAAGGAGCCACCCTAGCGATACAATCATCGCGGATTAAGGACCTGGCCTCTTGGCTCACTTGTTTTTGCGGAAATAACACTGCAGTCAGCAGAAAAGAGCCCTATATGCGAAGAAGCTAAAACGCTTCGTCTTTTAGGAGGCGACTTCTCAGACCCAACAATGGCTAGCCTTTTAGAGCCTCCTGTATTGGAAACCAGGGCATATGACTTCTGGGGTTCCCTGCTTCGCTAGGGCGTCCTTTCCCTTGCTAGATTCAGTTTTCCAACCTAAACCTTCCCTCTTAGTTCAAGTTCTCCAGTCTTCCCACCGACGCGTCCTTCCTCAATTTCTCCCCCTCAAGCCCCTTCATCTCTGAGTCAGGACTCTCTCTGAATAGTCCCGTCTCTCCCCCCCTCCCCGTTCCAGCAGTCTCCTCGCTTCCTGCCCAGACCGCCACCATTCCCTCTGCTTTCCCTCCCGCGACCCCCGACTCGGGTCTCCTTTTATTTGCACACTTCAGTGAGCCGCCTCTCCACCCCACTTCCCCCCCACTCCAGCGCCACAGAGCACAACCCGCCCCCCCCACCGGGACTCAGCCGTTGGCGGGGGCGTGGCCCCGCGAGTAACAGGTCTCCCGCCCCACACTCCGCGGGCCCGCGCGCAGACAAAGACATTCCACAGCCCCCGCCCCTCCGCGCACTCGGCCAGAGGGGGAGGAGACACGTGTCCCGCTAGCGCCGAGTCACGTGGAAAAGAAAACGAACGAAGCCCGCGGCCACTTGCGCACGCGCACAAGGCTCTGGCCTGGCGGGCTCTGAGGGAAAAGGGGAGCGGGGAGGCGACTTCTTCGGGCTCCGCGGCGGTGCGCAGGCGCCGTGGTCCGACCGGAGACTTTGTTCTCCGCGGAGAGACCCAAGGGCGGTGCCGGTGGCTGACTGCGCACGCGCGCCGCCTCATTTCCGGTGCTCTCTTTCGCTGGGTCGCTCGGGTCGGCTTCGGTCGCTGTCGCTCCCGCTCTCCCACCCCCGCCAACCGCCGCTCGGGCCTCTGCCGCTGCCGCGTTGCTTCCTCGATCCCTCGATCGTATATCCACTTCAATGCAGCGCCGGGACGACCCCGCCGCGCGCATGAGCCGGTCCTCAGGCCGCAGCGGCTCCATGGACCCCTCCGGTGCCCACCCCTCAGTGCGTCAGGCGCCGTCTCGGCAGCCACCGCTGCCTCACCGATCCCGGGGAGGCGGAGGAGGATCCCGGGGGGGCGCCCGGGCCTCGCCCGCCACGCAGCCACCACCGCTGCTGCCGCCCTCGGCCACGGGTCCCGACGCGACAGTGGGCGGTCCAGCGCCGACCCCGCTGCTGCCCCCCTCAGCCACTGCCTCCGTCAAGATGGAGCCGGAGAACAAGTACCTGCCCGAACTCATGGCCGAGAAGGACTCGCTCGATCCGTCCTTCACTCACGCCATGCAGCTTCTGACGGCAGGTAAGCCGGGTCCCTCTGGGTCACCTGGACACCCCGGGGGCATGGGTGGCACTGGCTTTGTTCCTCCCGCTTCCCGCCCCCTCGGGGCCACGGCAGTCGTGAACTCCCCTTGTCTCATCCTCCTCGTCGGGATCCTGGGATTCCGCACCTATCCCGGCCCGCGGGGCGAGGGAGGATTTCTAGGCTGCGGCGGAGGCCCGAAGGGGACTTGGCGATCTCTGAGCGCAAAGATCTTGATGGATAGCGCTGCGTTCCCCGCCCCTTTGCGACCCTTCCCCCTCCCACTTCTTGCAGCTGCCCTGCGCTCCGAGTGTTCAGATTCTTCCAGAAATGAACCTTTACCTCCCCCTACCCCCAAAGGGAAAGCTTTCTTTATTGCGGGTGGAGGTAGACGCCTCTGCCGAGGGTGTAGGAAGCGAAGTCGGGCGGAGCGGGGAGGGACCGTGGGAGGGGGGGGCCCGAGGTGAAACGGGGTGAGGCTGGAGTGCCCTGTCCAGCGCGCCGCGGTCACTGGGGCCGGGTCGGACTTAGCGGTAACAGGAGCTTAAGTTGCTCGGAGGCAGAAGCAACCTGTGGGAATCGGAGCTTGAGGTTTTCCGAATCAGATTTCCGACTTCGGCAGATGAAGTGATAATTGCTGCAGAGCAGGAAGGTTGTGGACCCCTTTATTTTTACAACGTGTTGTTCACCAAAAGGGGAAAAGTACCTCTAGAAGCAGTGAAATGGGACACGAGGAGGTAAAGGGTGGTTTGCAGGACTTTTCCCAACACGATGGACAAAAATTGAGAGAAATGGCAAGGTGCTTGTTCCTGGAAGACTTGGTCTTTCTGTTTGATTTCTTTTTGCCTCGTTAGTGAAATAGATTAGAAATAATAGTCTTTGTTCGCTGTGTGTAGACCAACGCTCCTTTCCTGCCCTGGCCAATCACCTAGTAGCTGTGATTTCTCCTGAAAGCCGTCTCTTTTGTCCCCACTTCTAGTTACAACGTTGTTTTAATAAGTATTTCTTATAATACCTGAATTGTATTAAGTAGAAAGTTGCAGTCTTCACTAAATGAGTAGGTGGAGTCTTTGGCAAGACTGATAGAATAGACAGTTAACGAAAATATCATTTCCCTACCTTCGGTTCTCCAGCTCCCTACATCTGTGAGGGGGTCTTCACTTTTTAACTCCATAAACAAAGCTCGTTGTGGTCAGGAATAACATTTAGATGAACTGCTTACATTTTCAACTTGATGCTTTGCTGTTCTTGTAACAGTGAGATTGTTTGAAACATCGCTATTCATTATGTTTGGCAATCTTTTTGAGAATGCCTTTTTTTAATCTATATTTTTCATGCTGTCTTGCATATATTTTTCATGCTGTCTTGCTTATAGCAGACACCAGGTGTTTGAGTCTGAAAGCAAACACATGGGCAGATTTAGGAATGTCAGGCTAAATTCTAAAGGTTGAGTTGGTAGTCTAATTTTTATTTCCTCTAATCTTTAAACAGTCCAGATTAAATAACTGAGAATAACAAACTTTAGGACTTTAAGGTGTTGGCTTGGGTTTGAAATTTTGAGCCTTAACTACCTACTCTTGGGAAGCTTTCTGAACCTCTGTAACCTTATCTGTAAAGTGGGATGGTGAGTTGAGAGAATTAAATGACATAAAAAAGCACTAGCACCATTCCCTTTGGCCTGCAGTCAGGTAATAACTTGTCACCACAGTTTTCTTCTAGTTGTAAATCCAGGGTACTGAATAAGATATGAAAGATATTTTTTGCCTAAGAACACCAAATGTCTAGTACAGTGTTTTGTTTGTCTTTTAAGTAGGAGATGGTTTCTTAAGTTAACCATCAAAAACTGTTGATCCTTAAAAGTTACTTACAGGGGTGCCTGGCTGGCTCAGTTGGTAGAGCATCAGACACAAAAAGGTACAGTTTTCACTCTTCTCTCACTGCTTAAATTCTGTTATAAGAGAGTGCTCTTAAATCTTTTTTTCCACTTGGGCTTTTTTTTTTTTTTTTTAAACCAAACAATTTTAAATTGGAGAACTGGGGTTGAGGTAATGCTGGCTTGTTGAAAGAACAGTTTTAGAAGGGTATATGGATGCTCCTTAGCATGGATAAGGCTTGATGTATGTTAGACCTGGATCATTTTTGAATGAACTGGGAAAGGGAATGTGAAGTCCACCACCTATGAGGAAGTGAGACTCTGAGAAGCCAGAATAGTAGTATTTAAGCTCTGACAAAGATACATGTAAAAAAATATATATGGTTAACACTTACTGTGCCAGGCACTGTTCTCTTTACATCAAATACTTAGTCTTTGTGACAATACTATGAGGAAGTTACTCTTATTCTCACTTTACAGATGAGGAAATCAAGGCACACAGAGATTAATTTGCCTACAACAACAAAATTTGTAAGCAGCATAACTGGGATTGGAAGCCAGTCTGAGTCTGGATCCGCACACCTAACCGTCCCCACCCACCCCACCCCTTACTGTTTATAGTACCTGCAAGAAATTGTACTTTAAAAATATTTTTTACTACTTGCACAAAATATTGTAATTGATTTGGACACATTGGAGTACTAGCTAACAGGACAGTAAAGATAATAAGGCCAGAAGAAGAAGAAGGAAACCCAGAGAGCAGAGCCTAGCTCTTGGGACTGACTGTCCTCTGGGCACCTCTGTGTATTTCCCGGGAGGTACCCCAAGACCCAGACCGCTCTCCTTCAGCAGTCACGTACCTCTTCCTGTCTTTCCCAGCTTTACTTTATTTTGCTCTTACCAGCACCTGATGCACCATTTATTGTAGTCATGTGTGTATTTGTTAACCACACCTCCTTCACAGCTAGAATGTCAGCTCTACCAGGGTAGGGATCTTTTGTCTGCCTTGTTCTCTGTGTATCTCTTGTTCCTTGAAGAGTGCCGCACAGAATGGCCTCTCACTAAATACTTGATGAATGAATATACATCGTCATTGCATAATGGAAAAATATCAACCGAGTTCTGAGGAATTTACATTTTGAGTATACACTTCTGTGTTAGCCAAATTGATATTCAAGTTGTGATGACAGTTAAATGCATTCACAGACCTGCAAGGAGTCCGTTTACTGATGTTTGTTTTCTGAAACAAAAATAACTTATTTTGTTACATATTTATATAATAAACTAAATGCTGTTATGTGTATCCGTGTTTTTTATTCTACTTTGTACAGTTAGGAAAATATAAATTAGTGTAAATGACTCAGAAGTAAGTAAACATTTTGAATAGATTAACAGTCCCGAGAAAATCTTGAAAGTATACTTAGAAATCCATCTTTCAAAAAGCACTCAGTGACATTTAAAGACACAGTCTGTTGAAACTTCGAAATACTTAATTCCTTTATTTCATTCACAGTATGTCGGAGAAGTGTATCTATTTCATTTCATTCTACAAGACTAGCAAAACCTACTAAAATCAGAAAGTAGAATTGCAAAGGAATTCTAGACCAAATAGAGGTATAAGTATAAATAGTAGGATAAAAATGCAGAGGTTACAACTGTTTGCAACAACATTGTTTACTTAGGAAAGTGGTCAGTGATGTGGCTGATTACAATAGAGAGATGTACAAATCAGTGGGTTTCTGATACATGAGTAGTACGCAGTTAGAAAATAACTGACAGAATCTCATTTTTAGAGTAGTATCAACAAAGTTAAAAATTAAAAAATTTTTTAAAAGAATCTATCAATTGCCTTGAAATTAGCGATAAAAGCCCATTCAAAATGTATGTGAATAATCATAACAAACAATAACATTAAATAATATTTAACCTTTGTAGAGCATATAATATGTGCCATGAGATGTGCTTCTCATTAATTGTGTCTCCCCGGCCATTGTATCAGGCAAAAATAATTTTTTCTCAATATTACAGATGAGGAATATTGTGATCACATATTGTCAACTTAAAATTTTACTGAAGGTGATAAAGGAAGATCTTTGTGAAAAGAGAAATATGCCTTATGTCCTGGGGGAATTGCTGACATGGAGGGAACTAGTGCTATAAAGATGATAGTATTTTTATTTTTATTTTTTTATTACTTATGTTGAAACATATTTTATTTTTTAAAATGCTTTTTAACTTTTTTTCTTATTTTTGAGAGAGGCACAGAATCCAAAGAAGGTTCCACGCTCTGAGCTGTCAGCACAGAGCCTGATATGAGGCTCAAATCCGTGAACCGTAAGATTATGACCTGAGCCAAAGTTAGACACTTAACCGACTGAGCCACCAAGCGCTCCTGAAAAATTTTTTGGATGACCTAATATCTTGAAAACCAAAACAGCTATAATTCTATAATCTCATTGTAAAGATGATAGTATTTTTAAATGCACATGTTGATTTTTAATTAAGTCAAACAAGACTTAGAGCTTGAGTAGATGAGAATTTAAGAAGGAACTCTTAAACATTGTTGGTGGAAGTGTGAATTGATACAACCACTCTGGATAACAGTTGAGCATTTCATCTGAAAGTTGAACTTTTACATTTCTTAAAATTAAGCAACACCATTTCTAGGAACGTGCCCATAGAAACTTTTGCACATGAGTGACTCATTCATAAAATGGTGCACCTTGTTCACAAAATGGTGCAGCTTGTTTCACCACTGATTGAATACTTTGAGCTTTTCAAAATGAGATAATTATAAAGCAGTGAGAATGAAAACTTAAAGCTACAAGCTTTTACAACATGGAGAAATGTTGGAAATATAATGTTAGAAAAGTAAGGCTAACTACATACAGTACAATACTATTTTTACAGAACATAATACTAGCAAGATTAAGCAAAATATTGTTAGCATACATTTTTTTTCTGATAAAGCAGCTTTCTGCAAAACTAAGCGTATGTTTACCATACTACTCAGCACTTGCACTCTTGGGCATTTATCCCAGAAAAATTAAAACTTAGTTTCACACAGACCTGTGCCTGAATGTTCATAGAAGCTTTATTCATAATAGCCAAAAACTGAAAACAAACC